GTGAGTACGTTGGGGTGGTACGCAATAATTCCAAGTTGCCGGCACACTCCCTTTGAGAGAAGTAGAGGTTCTCACGTGTCCATCTTGATATATACCGGGGTCCTCATTGTAGTGCCATCGAAGGAGAGGTCAAGGTCCATCCTCCCATCAAGAGTAAATGGCCTGTGGTCGTACGTCCTTGGGACTCGGTCGGGCTTCTTCAAGTCCTTCTTTCTTAGGCGAGCGACTGCAGAATAGCTCCCCTCCGATAAATGTGATATCCGCCACACTGTCAACTATCCCCTGAGCCGGCACTCCTTGAACTTCTACTTGAGGGTATCTTGATCTACTTCCATTGTAGTTCAATCGGATGCGAAGTATTCCTTCATGCTCAGAGTCATCCAAAAGGGCACCCAGGACGCCACTCGAAAGCGACTTTGCCCCACCTGTATTGTTCTTGGTATCGGGAGCAGGGCAAGAAGTGTAAACATGACGCGTTCCGGCGAGTGGACCTCCACCCGAGTTGGGTGTCCTTGGACCAATCCATTTTCTTGGAGCCCTGCAGTCTCTGGCGAGATGGCCAGGACGATTGCATCTGTAGCAGCGTCTGGCGTCAACATCACAAACAAACGGTCCCGGCGGCTGGTCTCGTCTCCTTTTCGATGCCAGACTTGTCCCCCGCTCCTGGGGCTCGGCCCCGTGTTGCCAATTGCTGACGTCTTCTCAGCCCAGCCAAGCGCTTCTCTTCATTGAGCGCCGCAACACACAGCTCGCTGTACTTCTGCGCTCCCGATACCGCTGGGGCCTTCAGTTGAAGCTGGCCAGACAACAACGCACTCCGTGTTTCACTTGACCTTGCATCCCTCCCGTATGCAGACCGAAATATACGCCCTAACCTGAGGATAAAGTCGCCTACAGGTTCCGACTCTCTCTGGACAGCCGTCGACCGACTACCAGGGTCTAGGTGCTCGCGTAGGGCCACCACCACGGAGCTGAGGCTAGTCTTCTCATTCTCTTCTAGTAAGTTGCATTCCAGCAACGCTCGCTTCCTCAGGTGACCGGCTAGCTGGATAAGGGTCTCTTGCACGCTCCACCCATTCCACGTGGCAGCACGCTGGAGCATGGGATACCAGGCTCTCTCCATCGAACGCATCAATTGGTGGGGCTTTCCCACGATGTTCCGTCGGGGGCATCGGACTTGGAGAGTCTACTCGTACAATACCTTCAAGCTATCATCAGCAAGGCGTGACTTCGAGGCTCCAATCTCAGCGTCTTTCTTTGCTATCAGTTCATCATGCTCCCGCAACTGCTCACAACTCTCCCTCCACAAACTCTTTTGCTTGTCTCTCTCTTCTGCTATTTTCACTTTCAGCTGACTCACCTCCTTCCGGAGTGTTGTATTCTCATCCAACAGCGCTGCATTCTCGTCTGCAAAGGCTGTATTCTCCTCTGTCAATCGATCTAGCTCCACTTCTAACTCTTCGGGATCCGTCGCGTCATCGTGATCATCTCCGTCACCGGGGCGCGCGCTCCTCGTGCGGCCGCCGCCGTAGCTGGCTCCGCCCCCTATTCCTCCGTCTCTCCCTCTTCTTCTCCATTGCCGCCGCCTTCGTGGCCGGCTCCTCGTTCTTCAGTCTCCTCAGGTTGGCACACCAAGAACTCCCCTTCGTCGTCGCGTAAAGAAATTATGACTCCTCTCTCAGAATCCGTCAGCTCCACTGTGTGCGCGTCCAGCCGCCTCGATGTTGCCACTCACAATCTGTCGCATGTCCTACAACGACGCCGAAACACTCAATCCTAACCTCCCCACCACCGCAGCCGTCAATCTCCCAGAGTTGAGGGGAAGGGTCTTCTTCGTGCCACGTGGCACAACGGGTTCGCTCGCCTCGGTCGTAGGCATCGCCATTTCGCTGGCAGACGTCTTTCTAGCTGATCCGAGTTACCTGGAGGATCGTCGCTGAACGATAGCGGCGATGGGTCCAGGTCTCGGTGGGACGTTCACCGTTTCTCACTCGTGGAGCCGGAGCCAACACTTATTACTTATTACTTGTGCGCATGCTTGTGTGTGCGTAGTGCGCATGACCGAAATGACAATAATTATGACTATCATAATGTATGTAGCGTAGAGTGCAGTCATCACAAATGCTTCTACCCTTGGGACGGAATATCGTGGGAATGTGTCCCGTTAAGAATACGTGGTCACCCGCAGCACCCTCGTTGTAGAGAGAGCAGTCGTTATTCTCTGGGCATCTGATGCGCTTGTGGGCGTGTTTCTGATTGGAAACGGGGAAAACCTGTCGAAAACCCTGTTTTAGTGAAGGAAATGCATAAAAACCTTCCAATGCGCATCATAAACGATGAATATCCTGGGGCTGTTATGTGAAAAGCGGGAAAACCGCACATCCGCATATAAAGCATGGACATAAAGGATGCTCACTAAAACATGTTGCTTTTGCCCATTGGAAATCTGAAGGGAAGTGAGAAAAGAAGTAAGAATTCGCCCGGAGATGCACACAAATATGCGCATGCGCTAACATTTTCCATATTTACAATGCCCACCCACAATTCCAATTATAATGACAAAAAAACATGATTAACATGTGACTTTGTAGATCAGCTAAACGGTTCTGAAATTACAAATCAATTTGTGCGAATTTGAAGTGTGATCGTAGCTCAAAACATGTGTAATAGGGCAGATAAACGCAAAATAACGCTTATACAATTCCAATTGGCTGTGCGAAAAAATGCGTATTATACAATTCCAATTGTCGCCCACCCATATTTCCAATTAACGCCCACCCAGAAATTCGAATTAGCGCCCACCCACATTTCCAACTAACGCCCATCCAGAAATTCAAATTGTTGCCCACCTAAACGTGTTTTGAATGAACATAGAAGAAATGGATAAACGCAGAACGGTAAAAAATTGCGCGCAAAAACGAAGTGAATTAACATTCTAATCCGTAAAACTACGTGTTAAGGCCATGAAATATGTTAGTAACTGTATAAATTTGAGTATTGCACGGTTGTACGTGAAAAATAATTAGAATAAGAGAGAAGATAAGATAACGTGGAAAATGGCGTGAAAGAGTCCATGTAAACTTAAATAAGACTGCGCAAACGCATATATGAAATATAAACGGAGAGAAATTAAAAAAACTCACAAATGCGGTGGAATGAAGTGGTGAATGGAAATTTATTTTAATATATGCAAGTTTTTCTCTCTTGGAATGGCTTTCTATGCTCCTTTGAAGGTTTGTCCGCTCAAAACGCTGGTGTCCAAGGTTATTTCACGCTTTTTCAATAGATTTCCATGTTTCAAGCCGATGCGATTGCATTTTGAAAAGTTTCACTCGCTTTCCGTTCCCTTCCCCCCTCCTCCCTTCCCCTGTCCCCTTTCCCTTCCTCCTTTCCCCTCCCCCCGCCTTCCTTCCCTTCCTTCCCCCTGCCTCCCTTGCCCCCCCTTCCATCCTCCCCTCCCCTCCCGTCCTCCTCCTCCCGCCGCCGTCCGTCCCTTCCTTTCCGATTCCACCTTTTCCCATATCCTTCCACCCGTTATCCCTTGGTTGCGCATCTTCTCCCTCCTTCCAAGTTATAATGCTTCTTTCCCTTCCCTTGCCGTGGTTACCAAGATCTCCCTATATCCCTTTTCCTCACTCTGTCGTCTCCTCCTTTTCACACAGCTCTTCGGTGTAAGTGCCCATGGAAAGAGGAACGTTGAGTTAAACTCTTCCAAATGTTTGCAATTGCATTTGAAACGCATTCTCCTTTTCCCACTTTTTCTATCAATTTTCCGTTTTTTTTTTCTTGTTTTTTCTCCCCTCTGTTTCTCTTTCTGGGGGTTTTTGCTTTTCGTTTTTTTTTTTTTGTTTTTTTGGTTTGTTTTTTTTGTTTTTGTTTCTTTTATTTTTTTTTTTATTTAGGTTGGTTCTTTTTCGGTGTTTATTTTAATTTTGATTTATTATTAAGGTGCACTCCAGTTGACATTTTTTTTTTTTTTCAGAGTTTCGTTTGTTTGACTTATTTTTTGGTGAGAGTGTTTTTTGTTTAAGAATCAGGGGATTTTTTTTTTTGTTATCTTATTTTAGATCCTCCTTTCTCTACAAAAAAAAAAAATAAGTAAAGAAAGAGGGTGGAGGGAGGGGGGTTGGGGGGGGGCCGTTTTAATTTTTTTTTTTGTTTTTTTAGTTTATTGTGTTTTTGTGTCGGGGGTGGGTTTTGATTTAGTATTTTTTTTTGTGATTTAATGTTTTTATATAACGGGTGGAGTTGGATTTATTGTCTTTTAACCTTAGTTTTGGAAGTGGTTATATGGTAGAGAAAGCGGGGCGAACGATGAGTGGGTGCTAAGATTTATGAGGAGTCTTGTTTTTTCCTGGTTCGCTTGCTCTCCCACGCTTTGCCGCGTTTATCGCCGTTTTCTCCCCTAAACAAGTTGAATGACGAGTCTCATTCCATCATGATAAGAAAAAACCACCGTGCGGCGTTCAGGGGAATTCCACGGAGTAAATTACGCGGTCATCGTGTGCGTAAACGGAATTTCGGTTTTTCATCAACGCGAAAGGCGATCCCGTAGCCAATCACATATTAAGAAAGAAAATTAAAATAATAAAAAGTTAAAGAAAAGAAAAGAAAAATAAAAATATTAGAAGAGTAGAAATATATAATCGCGGTACTACAGCACATAATCCCCTTCCTCCGCCATTTCGCTCATCCAACCTCTCCGAAAGCACCCCCCCCGTAACCTTATTTTACTCACTTTTATATATTTGCTTGTTACTTGTACCTTCGAGTCTCAGGAAGTCACAATTAATGGCATGTATCGCCGAGGAGTACTTTTACTTTATTACATTTTCGTGCAAAATGTATTGTTGAGATACGGGTGAAAATAAACGGGATTATGACACAGGAAAAAAACGATAGCTGGAGCGATGTTCATGCGCCGTTCCCACGGTTCGCGTGAAACGATAAATGTGCGGAACGCGTTACAAAACTCTCCAGCTGATACTGGAGGGTCGAATACAGTGGAGATAGAGACATTGCTATAAATAAAAGAAAACTCAGAGGAAAGTCCCTCACACTGGAGACTCTGCGGTAGACACAAGCCATGGCCCAAGCCACTGTCGTAAAGAGCTGATCCTGTTTACACGAGTTCATATGGTGGGGCTGTCGCGCGTAGTATCTGATGTACGTAGATCTTACGATAGTTCCTCGTCCATGAGATCCTCTGGCCTCTTAACCTCGTTGAATTATGTCATTATTACGCACGGAAGTATTCGGAAACGATTTCCGGTGAACGCACATGAACTACTAAGCTCATTCTTCAGAAATAACGAGTACTAGGGGCTACGACGCTTCCGTTTATAGGAACGTGGGGTTTGCGTCATCGTTCTAGAATTTTTGCGGGAAAATCTACGTTTTCCCGCGACGATCATTTGTCTACCTTTACCCTTTTACCCGGACATTGCACGGAGAAAATTACGCAGTCAGACATACGTAATCGTGTTATTTCGGTTTTGATTTTGGGATCCCGTTAACAAAATCGCGAAAATTTTGCGTGTAAGCCTTGAAGTGACAAACATTATCTAATACATCCGGTATGGTGATACAAACGCTATTTATGATTGAAATGGCGAAATAAGCTTAGAAGGCCTGTCTTATTTAGCCTATTTTTTCTGCTGTTTTGACTGCAACCTCTATTTTTTTCTCAAAAAAAGCCGACCATACAATAAATTTCGATCATGCGCTCGTCCGTCGTTTTGTATGCGTTTTCTACCGGACGTTTTCTCTCAACGGACGATGTATGTGCAAAGGCAGATTTCTGATGGTTTTTTTAACTAAATTGCTTTATATTTCTGATCACCGCTTTTTGTTGTGCTTCCGCATTCGGACTTATGAAGGTTTTTCTGCACAAGAAATGTTTTTTTTTGTTTTTGTATATCTGAGTTCTCATGTTCTCCGCGTTTATCGGTGTAATCCCCAACGTACGCAGTTACACCATTTTCCTGTTTATTAACTTCACCTCCCCTTTTTCTTACAGTCAAACGCTTTTCTCACAAACAAAACGTGTTATTTTCTGATGCGCGTTCGAAGTTGTGTGTTTTATATCGTTTTATCACTATAACACGTTGTTTGGTGATTGCGAAAAATGTTTTCCATTTGCAGCGATTTTACGGACGTTTTTCTGTTCATAATACGTTGTTTATACGAATTTGAAAGTTTCATGGTCATCTCCTTCTGCTTTATAAGAAGAGTGGCCTTGGGTAAGAGATTTAGTGAGGGGAGGAGGATCAAAACCGTCGGTCCGTCTACAGTAGTTTCTGAGTCTCTCATCTCAAGGTGGCTGCTCTTCTTGACGCACATGTTAATATCGTTTCTATGCACACGTGCACTTTTGTCGGACGTTTTCTAATTAGAAGCGTTTATATCTCGGTGAATAGTGCGGAATATGCCACATTAACTTTTTTTAAACAATATTTTTTCTGTTACTGGTATTTGATGGGCATGCGCACTTTTTTGAGTTATATATGTTTTACGGGGTTTATGAGCGTTTTTCTCACTTGTTCCACGCTTTCTATCCTCATTTGCGTCTTTTTCTACTTACTGTTTTGGAATTTGTGAATATACGCACTGTTTTCGGGTTTTCAAACGTTTTTCTCACTAAAGTATGAATACGAACATTTTTCTCACTGCTCCGCGTTTCATTAATCCTCTCGAAAGGGTTAGTTTGTCTGTGTCCGTGTGTCGACGCGTACAACTACGAGACTAGCCATGCCAGCGATTTCAGTAAAAGACTTCTCGCAATCCCTGTAACGCAAAATTTTAAACGCACGTCGAGAAAAATATTCCAGAAAAAGGTTGACGAAAAAAGTTCGCATACGCATATAAAATTCAATACCACGGATTTAAGAAATGGCTTGTCTTATTTAGCCTATTTTTTCTGCTGTTTTGACTGCAACCTCTATTTTTTTCTCCTAAACTGTAGTCTTCAAAATGAAGGCAAAAAAAAAAGCCGA